AGCGGGAAGGGTACAGGAGAGAGAGAGAGAGAGATAGAGAGAGAGCGAGGGCGAAGACCAGCAGCAGATCCTGCCCGTTTTAAGCAGGAGGCCGCTGTTGGTATCGCCACGGGCGGCGTCTGCTAACTAGACACACGACAGACGACTTTTTGCCTCAAGTAGTCGAGCAGTGGCGAAGCGTCCTGGCCTGCCTCTAGGCCCACGAGAACATGTTCTAAGAATTTTCTCGTGTTGTGCACGAAATGTTTTTCGAACATTTCTGGCTGAGACTGTATTTGTGTTCCAAGAGCATTGGTTTTGTTTTAGAATTTGTTCGGCTCGAAGAACACGTCGTGGCAATTAGGCTTATATGAATGCCAGGACGGTCTGTCCCTACAAAACAAACTAGTACACGAGGCGGAAAGTAGCCTGTCCGACAGCGGCCGCTGTCGGTGTTGGACCACGTTCGCTGTGTTGGGCACCGTGCCAGTTTCTGCCGTCGTCGTGTATCTCGTCGTTGGCCGTCGTCTTCGTCTGCGCTTTTCGTCAGCCTTTGTGGGCCCCGGAAACGGCAGGGCCGTTTTTTCACCGTTTCCAGAAAAATGTCCATTGAAAATGGAAGCGGCAAAAAAATCGGCGACCGGAAACGGCAACAAAAACGGCTCCAGGATCGGAACTGGAGCAGGGACCAGTAAAAAACGGCGACGGAACCGGTAAAAAAACGGCGTCGGAACCGGCAAAAAAACGGCAAAACGGAACCGGTAAAAAACTGCCCTATCGTTTCCAGGGCCCCCTAAGTCGTCGGCCGAAGAAAGTGAGGGGGGGGGCGAGAAGGGGCCCGTCGTCGTCCTCGTTCTCGCTGCCTGCGGCTCCTCGGGGGTCCTCTGCGGGGCCCGCCGGGGTGCGTATGGGGCGGGGCGGATCTGCTCGTTACAGTCGGGGCCTTGAAGAAGAGACGCTTTTCGTTGTGGAGGGGCTCGGTGTTCCTTGATTGTTTTACAGTTTGCCTCGGGTTTCCCTTAGGCTTTCGTATGGGAAATCGAAGTTCAACTTATGGGAAAGAGAAGCCTCGTTCCTTATTTAGGGTTCCTTAGGTCGACGCTCCGACTGTAAGAAGTTTGGTAACCCCACCCGGTCGGGCGGGGGAGGAGGTCGATCCGCCGGAGGTCTGGAGTGGGGGGCTTGCGGGCTCGCGGCCCCCTGCCACGGCACTCCTCAGACCATCCCGTGCATGTTCCTCCGTCCTCCAGCGCTTCTGTGCCCTCCTCCTGCGGGCGGCTGCCCTCCCGGAGAGGATCGGCGGCTACAACTGGTGCGGTTACGCCAGGGTGCGGTTTGCGAGTTGCTTTGTGGCGGCCTTTCCGAGGCCTTTGTGAGAGACAGTGTCATAATTGTCGTCGTTTCGAGCGAGACTGTCACTCTAGATGTGTGCTCCACTGTGCTAGAAGGAGCGACGGTGTCATGCGATTGGGTCGCATCGAGTGGCAGTGTCATCCGTTTCCCGGGGGCGGGAGGGGCAGATATGATGGGAGGCAAACCGCACCCTTTGCAAACCGCACCCATTGTAGTCGCCGAGAGGAATGCGACACCCAGTTCAGCTTCTCGACCAACACGGAGAAGTCACCCCGGCACTATTCGGTCCAGGATCCTCCCTCCTCGGTGGGAGGCGGGGTGCTGCCAAGCGGGGTCGCCATTCAGGAGGGCCACCAGGCTGTGCATGCACGGCGTTCCAGACAGGGCCTCGCCCTCGAGGGATCGAGAAGTTAATATCTCTTCCGGGGGTGGACAGAACCCCCAACAGTGACACGTCGATTAGTGAATTGACCGTTGTCGGTTCTCGAGAGGGCGCCGTGGCCGTTATTTTCCAGGCTTGCGCCCGCCAGGTTTGGGCCTCAGGTCGTTTTTACTAAACCACGTTTTACTAAAGGGAGGTCTGTCCATCCCCGACTCTTCCTCGGCGGAAGGTGGCGGAAGGCCTGCGGACACTGGCGGAAGCAGAACGGTCCGCCCTTCGCTGGCGGAAGACGGAAGCACGTCGGCCGGAGTTGGCGGAAGTAGAAATCCCCCCTTCCCAAATATGCATGTTTTGGGGGGGATCAAGGGTTTCTTGAACGAGCCATACGTTTTGACGGTCTTGGCGGACACCATACGTATCGTGCGCAGGACATGGTTCGTGCTCGCGCGGTCTCATGCCCCCTTCCTGGTGGTGGTCCCCCTTGGCGGCGACCCTCTGAGATGCACTTCCGGAAGAGGGGGGCAAGCATCGGGAGGGAAGGGCGGGTAATTGATCGAAGTGGGTGAAAGGATGATGCGGGGAGATGAGGTAGGGGTTGGAGTCTTAGAAGGAACAGCACGAGAATGTGGGGGTGGGATGATTACGATGATGATGACGATAAGGACTAGGAAGAAGGTGGGAGGTATTCGTTAATGTACCGCGGGCCATGTGTCATAATCAATGGCTCGCTCCCTCCGCATCACAATCTCTGCCAGACGGGGTCTACAGTTCTTATCGTGACCATAATACCAGCAGTACTTGCAATACCATGCAGGAGTATTCGCAGAAGTTCTGGTGGTTGCCGTGACGGTGAAGTCGGCAGACGACCTGTCAGTTTCATATAGTTTGTGTGTGTTTGTTTGGCGCACCCGCCTTCGAGAAGGGTGAGCTATACCCCCTCCTTCCCGTCCTGTTTCTTCCTCCCCCCGCCGCCTGATATTTCTGAGAAAGCGTCGGGCACAACCGATGTCCGCAAAACGTGACGTCCCGCTGGGAAAGTCTCTCCTCTCCTCCACCCCTCCTCCCTCTTCCTTCTCACCCTCTCTTATCCTTCCGAGGTCCTCAAGCTCACCATGTCCCTCCTGGATTGTGCGGTGTGAAGGGTGTTTGGAATGGGGTCTGGGGACCCGTCTTAACTTGAACGGGCGAGTTTGCGTGGACAGGATCTTGCAGTGGCATCGGAGCTCTCGACTCATTCCTTTTCACAAGGGGTGCGTCATGGCTATGTTCTGCACTTCGGTTTACACTCGCCAGCGGGCGGCCGACTCGGACAATGTCATTGACGTGCTGTGCCCCCCCCTCTGTCTCACCGAGTCCGACACCCTAAGGCACAGGCTTTGGCGCTGCTTGGCGGTCGTCGATTCGAGAGGGGACTTAGTCAAGCACGGGGTGATCAGGTCTGCGGGGGAGGCGGATGAGGCGTCAGTTTCCTTGGGAGTCTTTCTACATCCTTGTGATCATGTCCCAAAGCTGGCGCGAGCTGGTGGCATTCAGCTGGAGTGGGTGAGCCAGTCCGACGAGGATAGTACAATCGAGGACGTTTTTCTCGGGATTATGTTCGGTAACGGTTACTGTGACAGAAGTTTGATCTCAGAGCTCAATTGTGTTGGCTGGGCGTTTGTTTACGTTCTGAACCTACTCTGTGTCAGAACGGTCTAGTGGCTCGTGCGAACTGTTTCTTGACTGTCACAGCTGTGTTGATTTCCACGCACTGCCGTGGGCAGAGCAATGCTCCCCCAAACGTGCATACGCTGGATTTGCCCTGCTTTGGTCGCCCTTCTCTCCCAAGCAGTGCCGAGTGCGCAAAGCTAAATCCCATCAGAATGAGATAGCGGGGGACCTTTCGGACATCTCAGCTGAGATGGTCAAGCCATCTTAGCCAGGGTAACCATACCGTGGCCATCTCAGCCAATATGGCTTTGACGCTCCATCTCGAACCCTCGGCGCTGGAGCCTGAAATGATCGGCGGATCCCTGGCGGTGGCCAGGGCTGCAGGGCTCCTCTCGGCAATGCTTCTGCCCTCCTGGCCGAGGCTGGACGTGTGGCCCGAGGATCCGCGCGAGCCCCTGCGTCTTCCTCCCCAGCTTGATCTGGCACCCGGGACTTCGCATCAATGGCCTCGGACTGGCAATGTGTCACTTGCCTTCGCGCGTCAACGAGGGCTTACGCTTCCCCCCTTCGCTTGGCCGCTGTTCTCTAGTGCTCAGGGTGCAGTCAGCCAAGCTTCGACAGCTCGGGCATCGCTGCGTGGTCGTCGATTCTTCGGGCGACAGTTTTGCATGCATCGTCTCGGCCTGTGCATGCTATGCACTATGCGTCTGGCCGTCATTTAGCTGAATTGGCGCAGATCTGCATTTCGCTCCCAGCGCCAAGCAAGAACGCGAACTGGCGACAGCTCAGCAAAAATCTCCATCTAAAGCGGACGGGGGTCAAGGCTGACATCTCCACCACTTGCCCTGTTTAGGGGTGGACGTTATCCCCCGGAGCGCCTCGCCCTCATCCAGGGGTGTATGTGGGCTGATCAATTCCGCGCAGGCAAACCTAACCTTCTGAGGTCCACGGTGGTACCATGATGGCCCCACAAGTCGTCGAAGTCTAGAAACATCCGTCCTCGCCCCCATCTTCGGTCCTTTTCCTCCCCCCTCCCCCTTTGTCTGGAGGAGGAGCAGGAGGGGCCGGAAGAGCAGGAGGACACAGGATGGGTGAGAAGGAGAACGAGGAGGAGAAGGTGGAGGTGGAATAAGAAGAGGAGGAGGAGGAGGAAGAGCAGAATAATGAGGAATATGAACAGGAGGAACACGACGTGCAACATGAGGAGGAGGGGGGATGGAGGGAGGACGATGAGGAAGAGGAGGAGGAGGAGGAGGAGGAGGAGGAGGAGGAGGAGGAGGAAGAGGAGTGAGGAGGAGGAAGAGGAGGGGGAGGAGGAGGAGGAGGAGGAGGAGGAGGAGGAGGAGGAGAAGGAGGAGGAGGAGGAGAAGGAGGTGGAGGAGGTGGAGGAGGAGGAGCAAGAGGAGTAAGATGAGTAAGATGAGTAAGAGGAGGGGGAGGAGGAGGAGGAGGAGGAGGAGATGAAGGAGGAGGAGGAGGATGAGGAGAACGAGGAGGAGGAGGAGTTGGAGGTCGAGGAGGAAGAGGAAGAGCAGGAGGAGGATCCATTATTCCCTTTCTCCCTCCATCTCCCTCCATCTCACTCCCTCCCCTGACTCTCCTCCCACCCGTCCCCGCGCCGTGGCCACCGCTGCAGGAGGGGGCCGCGAGCGGCAAGGAGATCGCCGCCCGGTGGGATGCCGAGGCCCCGCGCAGCTCCTCGGCCGCCCCTCAGGCGGTGCAGCGGGAGGGGAGGGGAGGGGGTGGAGGGGAGGGGGTCAGGAGGAGGAGGAGGAGGAGGAGGAGGAGGAGGAGGAGGAGGAGGAGGAGGAGGAGGAGGAGGAGGAGGAGGAGGAGGAGGAGGGAGGGAGTCAGGAGGAGGACGGGAGGGGAGGGGAGGGGAGGGAGTCAGGAGGAGGATGGGGTCGGAGGGGGGCCCGACCTCGACGAGGCCGCCGCCGCTGATGCGACCTTGCCTGCGTCAGAGCGGAGGCTGCAGGAGGGAGCAGGAGGGCTTGCCCCTCCCCTCCTGCCCACACTCCTTCTGGCTTCCCGACCTCGACGAGCACGAGGCCGCCTCCGCTGATGCGGCCTTGCCTGCGTCAGAGCGGAGGCTGCAGGAGGGAGTAGGAGGGCTTGCCCCTCCCCTCCTGCCCACACTCCTTCTGGCTTTAGCTGAGCTTGCTCGACTGTGGCCTCGCATGGGAAATTGAGGAGCTGAGCAGTTATCACAGCACGTGGCGAGGCGCATGAAACTTGGAGGTCGTCAGCCGAGGTGAAAGGCGCTCGCAACGCCGAGGCCAAGATGCAGCTGGAGTCCGAGGCTCGCGCGCTAGACAAGCGTCGTTCGGAGTTCATGGCGCTGGTGCAGGCCCAGAGCCTCCAGATGCATACCCAGAAGCAGCAGCTGCACGCGGAAGAGCTTGAGCTGCTGAGGAACAGGCGTCTGGTTTTGGAGATGGCGTCGGAGCAGCTGCAGCGACCCGAGCAGGTCGCGCTGAGCGCGGGCACTCCCCCACAGGTCGCGCGCACGGTGGCTGCTCAGGAGGCTGCCGCAAGGCAAGAGGGTCCAGCGAGGAGCTCGCTCGCGCACAGAAGAGCGAGCCCATCAGGCCCCCAGCCCCCTTGCTTCCGGTGCCCGTTCCCCTGCATGTGCAGCCGCACTCCCAAGTTGCTGCGGCTGTTGTGGAGGAGCCTGCACTTGAGGCGGATGGCGAGGACGACGCCGACCTGGAGGAGATGGAAGATAGGGGCATTGCGGCAGCCTTGGCCGACAACTACAGGAGGTATGCGCCGCGTGCTGAGGACACTCCTCCGAGCAGCGCTGCGGGCTCTGGCAACAGCAGTGATCTTCGGTCCCTCGTCGCCAAGCAGCAGAAGTATGATGAATCGAACAATATGTGGAAGTTGGCTTGCGCACCTTTCAGAGCTAAATCCAAGCTAGGCGAACCACATGAAGCACGAGAGGGCCAGGGACGTCAGGCTCGGCCAGTCACCCTGCAGTCCCCCGAGTGAGTTTCGCGGCAGCTCCCGAGGTCATGCGCTACGAGCCTCAGGAGCGACATTACCATACATCGTCGTCGAATTCAGCACCATGTTGGTCCTCCCAGCACTCCGCTGACCATCAGCGGTCCTCGGATCTTCAGCAAGTTGATGCCGAGAAGGGCCGGCTTGGGGTAGCCGGTTGTGAATCATCACGTTCGTTTTCGTGTTCGTTTTTCTTATCGCCCATCTTTTTGGGCGGTCTTCTTGGCATCGCTCGGACGTGTGCATTTTCTTGGGGGCCGAGGACCATCGAGGAACATCCTGGATCATCTTGCGGAACATACGCGCGCGAAGCAGAAACATGCACAGGGAATGGACGTCCGAGCGATGCCGAGTCTTGGGGCGATCTCGGAGCCCTGCTCGGCCCTCTGTCGCGGAGTGCTGAATGCTCGAAGCGACGAGAGCGCCCAAATCCTCGAATAATCTAAGGGCGGTCGTTGACCTTGTCCTCTTGGGACCCCCGCGGGAAGTGAACTTGGAGCTCTTCTAGGACGTCTTGGGGGCTCATGAGGTCGTCTTGAGGCCATCGTGGGCCGTCTTGGGACCCCCCTAATCCTTTCCAGCAGGCGAGAGAAGACTACCACCACCACCACCACCACGACCACCACCACCACCACCACCACCACCACCACCACCACCACCACCACCACCACCACCACCACCACCACCACCACCACCACCACCACCACCACCACCACCACCACCACCACCACCACCACCACCACCACCACCACCACCACCACCACCACCCCCAGGCCCCGTCGGGTCATGGGGTCATGACAGAATCGTGGCGGTCTGTTATTTTTTGCCACTTTCTTTGCGGCCTCAGGGCCGTCAACACACAGGCTCAGGATGTAAAGCCGGTCCCGGGGAAGGGGTCGAGACCTCTGGAGGCCGACGGCACGAAACATCACGTTGGGTTGTCTGGGCCCGCCGCAGCTCCGCGGGGGGAGTCGGCTCGGTGGGGGGCCCTTCTCCGGGGCCGCCCTCTGCCGCCAGTGGGGCCCGCTTGCCTCGCCACGGCGGCCCGAAAGCCCTGGCTTTCGCGGGGCGCCGCGGCCAGTTCCTTCTGGCCCCGGCCATCCGAGTTCGGCTTCAAAAGGTGCAGAGGCCTCTGGTTGACCCCAAATCCGCGGCTGGCGAGGGGGGGGGGGGAATGAGGAGGAGAAGGCCTTCTCTCAAGGCGGCGGGACTTCTCAGGAGCCCTGGCGCCTTCTGGGAGGTTTTTCGGTTTTCGGGGGAGGCTCAGAACACTTCTCAGAAGGCGGGTGGGTTTTCGAGCCGTCTGAGAAGACCTTCTCCTTCTCATTTCCCCCCTCGCCCGCCGCTAACAAAAGGAGGTCCAGCGAAAAGAGTGCGGTGCGATGGATCCGGTGCAACAGACCTGCGGAGTTGCAAGTCTGCAGTAGATCTGGGGCGTGCAATGAACGAAGGTGCGCAAATGTTTTGCTGGATTTTCGCGTGCAATGCAGCAGTTGCAATACAATGCGATGCAATTCTCTGGGTCGCAATACATCTGCAAGACGCTTGCCCCAAGTCTAATGCACCACCCCCTTTCCAGCTGGACCCCCTGCTGGATCAACCAACAGGCCTACTGACTGTTTCGCCGATCGGCGCTGGCCCCCGCCTCCCCCCTCGTAGACCAGACATTGGCTGCTTTTGGCGGCTGCTTTTGGCGACTGCTCGGCTCCAGACTGCTGGCTCGACTGGTAGGAGCAGGTCGACGGCGCATCGACCCAGAGCCAGACCACCCCACCCTCCCCTAACCCTTCGGCCGAATGCCGAAACCCAGAATCAGAAAACGCCAACCTTTTCCTCGTGGAAGCAGATGCTGGTTTGGGAGGTCCCTGCCAGGGAGCTGCTGCGGACAGCTCAGAACTCAGCGCCGTGTGATTATGCATTCTATAGCGTGGAAATTACGTTACGAATTTGTTTGCCCATGGTTGTTGCGCGATTCCTGCTTTCTTGCTGTGTGGTATGTACGTGCTTTCTTTTGCATGTCACTGTTAGGACCACTGACATCGTGTTCACGTGTGTTCGTGAATGCATGCGTTATGTCCCGTATGCGCGTTCGTTATATGGCCTGGTTCTGCTTTTGTTCCACGATCTGGTGTACACTGCTTACTCACTGGTGCCCTCTAGATTTGTACGATAGAGATGCATGTTCTTGATGTATATTATTGGTGTGCGTATGTGTGTGTGTGTGCCAAAGTTTGTTCTTCCCCCTCCGCTGTCGGTCGGATTGTGTCTCTCGCGTCCGTCTGCCTCCTCCCTCGGCTGTTCTCCGTCGCTTGCTTTGCTCCCCTTTTCCTTATCTTGCTGGCCCCGGTCGTCCTAATTCTGGCCGGCTTTGGCCTTTGATCGTGCGAGCTCCTTGGTGCCACTGCCTCGTGCGGGGCCGGCAACTTACCTCTGGCGCACGCGCGCGTCGGCGACTTCTCTGGACGGCGTGGAGCTGCGCGCGCCCGCGGACGACCGCAAGCATGTGTTTGTATTTGTATATGTGTGTGTGTGTCGATGGGGTCTGGTATAGATGCCAAGGCATGATGTGTGTCCTGGACGCTTTTCTTCGTATAAGTGAATATTGTACGCGCTGATCTTAGTTGTGGGTGCATCGTATGTTTGGCGTGTCCTTGCTGAGTATGCTATAGGTGTTTTTCATTTGGTCTATGCTGATGATTTGTTGTGTTGGTGCACGTGATGGTCGTCTGGTTTTGATGTATGTTGTTGATGGCAGGTGTGTATGCGTTCTCAACGTATGTGTTGGGCGCATGCTCATTCGTAATCGTGGCAAGCGAAAGCGTTTGATGTGTGTTCTTGGTGTCTGTTATTCCTGTGTGTTCTAGGTGACAGTCTCCAATGCCTGTAGGCGCCATGGCGCCGTGACGCCTGCCATGTCTTAGGAGTTGTGGAAGGCGTCTGTCGCGTCGATTTCTGGGGCCAAGCGAAGTGCGATACCCGGGGCATTCGGGACTACAATCAACCCGCACAATAAGGATGGGCATCCTTCCCAAGGGTACCCTTGCATCCGTGCTTCCTCGGTCCATCCTTGGTCACTTTCGTTGGCCGCGCTCCGCTCGAAAAGCTTCGAAATGGGCGTCCAAGGCCCTTGCATTCTGATCGCGCATCCTTCTGATACAGGCCGAATGCTTGGGCCTGGCGGCCACGTTATGCAGGGCTTGCGGGCGAGGCGGGATGGTCGGGGCGATCGGGATTTCTGGGGCCTGGTGGTCGCGGAGTGCAGTGCTGGCGGGCGGCTTTGTTTTTCAGTTCTAACAGCCAGCTCCAGCTTTCCGAGCGGGGAAAAACAAATGTCCCAGAATTCCCCCCGTCCCCAGAGGTCCCCACGTCCCAGAATTCCGGCGCTACGTTTTTGCACAATGCTCCCCCTGAAAGTCCCAACCTCTCCTTCTGAAGGTCAGGCTGACCGTCCTGGTTTTCATGTGTGTCTCTTTCTGACGCCCCTGGGCCCAGAAGTGTCTCCTTGAAGTCAGAATTTGCGAAACGAATTTCATAGTTTGTCCGAAAGCGTGCCTCGGTTGGCAGGAGTGACATTTCCCTCAAGCGCACACGTGTGTTTATATCTCAGCATCCTGAGAGTGTCCTAAGCAGTCTAGTGCATATATTGCCTCGCAATGCCCGTTCGTTCGCATGGACTTTGTGCGTTCTTTATTTTTTGCTCGCAACCGCAAGCGGGCAGCCGCGCGGCGTCAAGAGTCAAACGCAAGATAAACCTACAGGCGCGGAGAAATCTCACGACAGCAGTCGAACGCTGAAAATTGACAGGGCCGCAACCAAGCGCGAAAACGTTGTGCATTCTTTTGCATTCTTTACGTGCTGCGTTCGTTATTATTGTCACTCGTACTTCCAAGGGTTTAGATGTCTGGGGAGGATGCAGGCCGCGTCGGCAGCTCGCGCGTCCGCCAGAACCTCTCTGGCGGACATGCGTGCTGTCGTTGCCGGCCGATTCGATGCTGATGGCGGCCCTGCCGATGCCTGCGGGACCGATGCGACGGTTGAATTTCAGACGACGCTTGCCATTTCGATGTTCTCGGTTGAAGCTCCTGAGGAGTTGATCTTCAGCGTCGTCGCTGGTATGTCCCTCGCCGGAAACCGTCCAGCTCTGACCTAATCCCACATTATCTGGCTGAGTTTTGGGATTGATCTGGCCTAGTCTGGCTCAATGGCCCCTCCATCGGGCGGAGTAGCTTGTCATTGTTCCCCCGAAACCGAGGTTGCCGACCCCTCACCAGAAGCTAGCCTGCCCCGCACTCACAATTTTCGAGTGAGAGGCAGGCTAGCTTCTGGTAGCGAGGAACCGCCTCGGCCACGATCGAAGGCTCCAGCTCCGAAACTGCATTGCATGCTGCCTCTTGAGTCAGTCTCTGGGCGGTTTGGATTTCGGCAAAACACGAAGAGCTTCCAGCAGTTGCCTCCTGCGATTCGGCGGCGAGCGAGGGGGGGGAAGGGAGAATGAGACGGCCTTCTCACAAGGCTCGGAAGCCCCCCAGCCGTCTGAGAGGTTTCCTAAGCCTTCCCAGGATACACAGACATTTCTTAGTAGAAGGCGCGAGGGCCTCTGAGAAGGCCCGCCGCCTTCTGAGAAGGCCTTCTCCTTCTCATTGCCCCCTCCTCGCTCGCCGCCCAGAGATGTTCCCACGAGCGGCGCCGCAGGTCTCCGCGGCGAGCACCAGCGACGTCGGCGCGGCCGCTGCGGCGGTCGAGGCGAACGCCGCCGCGGCGGCTGGCGACCCCGCCAGCCCCACTTTCGGCGCCGCCGCCCGCCGCCACTGCCGCCTCCTTTCGGCCTTGGCCGCCTGCCGCCGCAGGGGAAGTTAGCTGCCCTGGAGGTCGTTCGGGATTCCTCTGCCAGGTACCTGTGCCGCTGCCGGTCGGTTGGCAGGCGCCTTTGCCGCTGCCTCGCCCCCCAGTCTTGCCGCCTGAGTGCCTGCGCGTTCCCTCTACAGAGGCATCCGATGTGTTTTTCGAATGCGCGATCCCTGGAGGTCTCGCCCCGTTTCCCCGGGGTCTGGTTTTTCATCCCGAGTCGTTTTCTGACGGCCCCGGGTCCTGATGAGGGGCCCCAGGGGCCGAAAATTGAGAAGAACTTCCGCTTTGATTTTCTCCAAATAGGCTTACTCCTATAGAAGCCCTAGCTCAAACCCTCCTAATTGGTCCGTTGCCCCCCTAATTCCTATGCCCCCCTAATTCCTATGCCTATGCCTATGCCTACGGCTCACCCCTAACTCCTATGCCTACGCCTATGTCTATGCCTATACCTATGCCTATGCACCACCTCTCGCTTGCTTGCTCTTGCTTGCCCTTGCTTGCTTGCACTTGATCGCTGGATCTTGCTTGCTTATTATTGCCGCTTGCGCTTGCATGCTTCCGCTTGCTTGCGCTGTCTTGATATTGCTTGCTTGTTTTTGCTCGCTTGCGCTTGCTTGCATCCGCTTGCTTGCTTGCGCTTGCTTGATTTTGCTCCTCCCGTCCTCCTCCCGTCCTGCTCCCGTCCTCCTTTCGTCCTCCTTCCATCCTCCCCGCGTCCTCCTCCTGTCCTCCTATCTATTTAGGGGTCATCGCTGGCTGATATCATCAATCCATTGGAGATCTGGGTCGTGCTGCCCGTCGCAGGCGCTAACCGAACAGAGCGGTATTTGCGACTGCCCCTGCCAGATTGCCCCCCAGCCCTCCTGGCGGGATGGCGCTGCCGCGACAGGCCGCGGGCCGACCGCTGCCAGTCGAGCGCGCCCATCAGCCTCCAGCGCGCCCCGTCCACGAACTCCGAGCCCACTCCCAGCTAGCCACACTCGGGGGAGCGTAAGACCCGGGTTTGCCAGGACTCGGGTTCGCCATCGTTTTTTGGACGACCGCGCCTCGGAATTTGACGAGGAGGAGTTTCGTGGGATGTCTGCAGCGGGAGGCCTCGTCAAAATGCAGGCTCGGCCTCGTAACTTTTTTGACGACCTCGTCGGGGATTTCCGAGTCCCCTGTACCCAGGTCTTACGTCCCCCTGGCACACCAGGTACAGTCAAGGCGCTGATAGAAGGACCACTTTGGGCTCCAGAGGGGCTCTCGTTCCCAGGCCGTTCCTTACTTAGTCGTGGCCAAGGCTCGCCGTGGCCAGAAAAGCCCCTTGGTTCCTTATTATTATTATTATTATTATTATTATTATTATTATTATTATTATTATTATTATTATTATTATTATTATTAGTATCATTATCATTATCATTAGTATTATTATTATTATCATTATTATTAGTAGTATTATTATTCGTATGATTACTATTGTTATTCTTATTATTATTATTAGTAGTATTATTATTATTACTCGGCGTCCCTTGCGGTAGCACGATGACTGCAGCAGATCACAAGCAAGCATGTTGGAGGCCTTGGCCGTGCTGCCCGTACAGCGAAGGCTGATTAGCAAGTCGAACCTGCCAACTCAAAAGTACCCTCGTGCCTTCTGTTTCGCGACGAGTGCCGTCTTACATTCCCAGGGAAATGTGGCCCTCGGAAGGGTCTCGTGTTCTCTCGCGTGTCTTCTCCAATTGTAGCAGATCACAAGCAAGCACGTTGGAGGTCTGGACCAGATCGGCCTGTCTGGCCTTCTGGGTCTGCTTGGCGGCCGTCTTGCTCACACTGTGCCCACTGCCGAGGCTGTTGGATCGGCACCCGTCCCCCTAGGCACCCCCAGGGCCGGCCCCGCCCTCGTCGCGAGGGCGCCGCGGCTGGCCGCCCCGCGCACCGCCTCAGCGCAATTGCGACGGGCACTCGGCAACCGGCCCAGACACGCTCGCGTCGCGGCAGACATCGCGACGGACTGGGACACAGGAGAATACACACATAGTTCGACCACGCGCAGAGGTGGGCAGGGGGAGGGGGGAAGGCTCCTTAAGAGGCGGCTGCTTCTCAGCAGGCGCAGGCATGCTCTGTAGCTGCAGGGCCGGCGCCTTCTAGGAAGCAGCCTCTGTCTAAGAAGCCTTCCCCCCTCCTCCATACCCCCCCTTGCGCGCGCCACCCACAAAAGAGAATCCACACACAACAGGAGGCGCTGCAACCTTCCAGGATCGAGGGAGTTGTTGCCTCTTCCTCGCCGCGGGGCGGCGGAAAGGGCGGCGGGCGCCCTGCAGGAGGACAGCGAGGGCGGCTCCGCCGGCGGAGGCCGGCGGAAGGCCGGATGAAGTTAAGCATGCGCCCGTTGGAGGCCGCGTATTTCAGAGCCCCAAATCATCAGGATTGTCAACACTTGATTTCTCCTCCTCCTTTTCCTCCTCCTCCTCCTCCTCCTCCTCCTCCTCCCCTTTCTTCTGCCCCTCGTCGTCCTCCTCCTCCTCCCCCTCGTCCTCGTCCTTCTCCACCTCCTCCTCCTCCTCCTCCTCCTCCTCCTCCTCCTCCTGGGCCGAGGAACCACATCCCGGAGGTTCCTCGGCCCAGGAGGAGGGTCAGGGCTAACTCGGGTTCGTTTTTCGGGAATCCGAACCCGACTTACCCCGGACCCGAGTTACCCCGGATCATTCGGGCGTCCAGAGCACCAAAATCATCAGGGGTAACTCGGGTCAGGGGTAACTCCGGTTTGTTTGTCGGGAATCCAAACCCGAGTTACCCCGGACCCGAGTTACCCCGGATAACTCGGGCGCCCAAGTACTGGGGGGGCGATCAATGGAGGGGCAGCGAAGGGATCCTGGAGGGCGGGTTCGTTCAAACCTTCAGGCCCCAGAGGGGGCCACTGGGGCCCGAAAAGGGCACCTTTCTCCCCCCCAGTGTATCGTCCCCCCATTAATTCGTGCCCAAGCGGGCGCAAGTAAATCATGCGCCCGCAAGAGATGGCAATATTTCTGGGTTCAGGGTTTCTGTAAACAGCCAAATACTACGCCGATGCAGATGTTCGTGGCGTCTTATGGGAGCGTCAAGATGACATGAGCTTCGTCCGCTACTTCGCGTGAGCGGGAAGGCGGGGCCTGGCCCGTGTCACGATCCCGCCCGAGCTGCCCCCCCCTTACCCCCTAGAGTTCTGACGGGCTGAATGAAGAGCAATCATATCAAAGATCCAGGGATTTCTGAACCTGGGGTTTTAATCCGGTTACACGATAGACACTATCATAAGAAGCAGTTAGACATCCCGACGTTGAAACACGGATTTAGAAATCCCACCGGACGGGATCTGGCCCCTACAAATACAAGACGACCGCAGTTCATGTTACCATGAAATTGTCGGAACGCCGATCATAGTAGATTCACTTACCATGTCGAAGCACCATCATAAGCATCATCGTCATCATCATCATCATCATCATCATCATCATCAGCAGCAGCATATCATTGTTCCGTGTCACCGCATTGCACGCATCGCCAGAACCGCGGGTTGGATATAGCCGTTAGGTACGAGATGGGGAGCATGTTGCCCCATCGTCATGACAAGACTATGATGTGGTGTGCATGCAAGATGACTTGGCGACCGGCGGAGAAGGCGGAGTGGGCAGAGTAGAAATTATTTCGCGCGGGCACGCATCCCGCCACATTTCTCCGTGACAGATCGGGCGGGGCCATTTCCGATCCTGTTTTGCAGCGTTGTTCATAAAAGGGGTGCCTGAATCTCTCCGCGGGAGCGCATGGGCCATTTGCCCAAGTTCGGCTTAGGGATAGGATATTCTCACATCGTACCAAACCTCAGGATGTGTTTACGCTTCGCGAGTCCCCACCAGCCCACCCTAAAGCAGCCAGTATAGGGAAGAGTACCGTCTATCCAGAGACGATGCCCAGACGAGTCGCCCTGCTCATGGAAGTAGAGGAGCATTCAGAGGACCAATGAACCCTCTTGAAACTCTGTGGGGGGTCCTGGAGCCCTCTTGGGGCTCCTTTGACGGGTCTTGGGGTCCTCTTGGGGCTCTTTTGGGGGGTATTGGGGCGCTCTTGGGGCCCTCTTGGGGCTCTACTGGGGCTCCCCTAGGAGCTTCGGAGGGCCTCCTGGCGCCAGTTCGGAGGCCATCGGTTAAAGGAGGATGGGTCCCCGATTTCCCTCCCCCCTCTGCGGCCCTGGGGGGCGGTCTTGGGCCAGTCGTGGAGGCCTCGTGGGCCCTTCTTGGAGCTGTCTTGAGCCATCTTGGGGTCATCTCGAGGCCTCACAAGCGCATCGGAAGCGAAAAGGCGAGAAGGCAAACAAAACGTCATTGGGTTTCTCACGGCTGTTGACGGATTTTGGCTTCTGGGGGAGGTCCTGACGGGTCTCCAAAAGCGCTTGGATCCGTCTTGTGGCCTTTTTGAGGCCTCTTGGAGGCATGTTGTCATCTTGAGCCATGCTTTTGTGGCCTTGTTTTGGGGTTTGCTGCAGGAGCCCTGCCGTGCAGGCGTCGGGGCGTGGCAGGGCATAGCATCGCCCATGAAACCTAACAACGTAGTGCACAAGTACGTGGCTTCACGGATGCCCGTCCTGGCATCTGGGATCGTCGATCTGGGTGGTCTGGTTCGACGCGTCTGTAGAAGAGACCCCTCTCCCGAATGCTCCTGGCCCTCCTGACTGAGGGCGCCTCCAAACGGGTTAGGGGTCCTTGCATGCCCAATCGATTCACCGGGGCCGGTTTTGCAACCTCACTCGTCTTTTGACGGTCCCGAGGCCCGGCATGGGCCCCCAGATGCCGAAGACATCGAGAAGCCTTCCGCCGTGCCTGTTTCGCGACCCGCGGGAATCTGGAGACGTCTCGTCTCGCCCCCCCCCCGCTGCAGCCGCCATCCAGGCGCCCCTGCAGCCGGCGGCCGCCGGCCCCCTGGGCTCTTCGGCGCGCCCGCAGCCAGCGACCCCGCTGGCCACGCCGACCAGCAGGACAGCGGCGCCTGGGAGCCTGCGCCCGGCATATCAAGCAGGGGGGCGAAGCGTCCTGGCTTGCCTGCAGTCAGCGCGCATGGTAAGGATGGGCAGCCTTCCCAGAGGGTGCTCTTTGCATCCTTGCCTCCTCGGCCCATCCTTGGCCGCTTTCGTTGGCCGCGCCCCGCTCGAAAAGCTTCGAAACGGCCTTCCGAGGCCCTTGCGTACTTGTCGCGCGTCCTTATGGTACGGATCGACTGTACAGGCCCACCAAAGAATGCTCTAAGGACCTGTCATGGTTTCCGCGGGGTGCTCTTCGAGCAACTCTGGCTGAGGCCGCCTTGGTTTGAACTCATCGGCATTCTGTTCTAAGAATATTGTCCTCGTTCTTACAGCGTGCTCTTTTTCTAAGACATTTCGTGGGACGGTCGGTCCCTGCCCAAGCATGGGCTCCAGCGAGCACAGGAAGGGGGGGGCAGGTTCGAAGCGCTGGGCGCTCGGATATGTTTTTGTTGTCTTTTCTGCGGCCCGCGGGGGCCGTTCTGAGGGACCGGGGTCGTCAAAAGCAGACACGGGGTGGAAAACTGCACGCAGATGAACCTCGGAGGTATCAGGGGGCCGATTTTGGGTGGGTTTTGCCATATCCCCCCCCTCCCCCTCCTGACAGACTTCCTGGGGCTCCAGTCAGTTGAGACCCCCTGGCCGCCTCCAAGCGGCGCGGTTCTTGCTCGCTTCTGTGCCAAGGTCCCGGCTCACAAAACCAAGTTGCCTTGATCGTCGCTGCTTTCTGCACGTGCCACGGGGTCCGACTACATCGCACGGGGAGCGTGTTCTCCAGGCCTTGCGCAGTCGCAGCTCCGACTGCGTTCGGACCATCGTTGCCGGCCTTGCTGGCGACGGCACAAGCCTGCTGGCGTTGCACCTCACTGCGTTCGCTAAATCTCTGCCCTAGCCAGACCGCGCGAGACAAAAGTGTATCGGCCTACGTATCTGGAGGCCCGCTCCGGGCCCTCGGGGCCGTCGAGCGGCGGCCCAGACGGGCTGCGTCGCCAGTCCCGCTGGGAGGGGGCCGAGAGCTCTGGGGGCCCCGCGCGGACAGCAAGAGTCGACGTTGGTGTCTTGGTTGGGCGGCGAGCGAGGGGGGTAAGGCCTCCTCCTCCTCCTCCTCCTCATCCTCCTCCCCCTCCTCCTCCTCTGAGAAGAAGAAGGCCTTCTTCTCAGAAGGCGGCGGGGCTTCTCAGAAGCGCTCCAGCCTTCTCGGAAGTGTTCTGCGTCTCCGGGGAAGGCTTAAGAACACTTCTCAGAAGTGGCCTGCGAACTTCCGGGCCCTTGGAGAAGGCCCGCCCCTTCTCGCTTCCCCATGCCCCCCTTTTTAGCCCGCCGCCAACTGGGGGGGCCCCGGGTGGGCAGCAGGAAGCGACGTTGGTGTCTCGATTTAGGCCAGGGAGGCGCCGAGCCGAACCCCAGACCCCCGACGTAATGATTTTTTCATTACGTCGACCCCCAGACGTCCCGACCCTTTCCCTATGACCGGCTTTGCATCCTGAGTCGTTTTTTCACGCTCCCGAGGCCCGGCGAGGGCCCCCGGAGGCCGAAAATTAGGAAAAACCTCCCGTCGTGATTTTTTCATTACTCGAGGGGGTCTGGAACCACGGCTTCTCCGCGAGGCGGGCGAAGGGTGCCGGGGTCCCTCGGGGGGGGGGCTCTTCGATAGGGTGGCCGGCCGCGCTCCCGCGGCCGCTCTCGGCATCGAGGAGTCCACCTCCCTGAACAGACCTCGGGCGTCTTGCGGGTCTTGGGCGCACCCAGGTTCAGAGCCCCGAATCATCAGGGGTAGCTCGGGTCAGGGTTAACTCGGGTTCGTTTTTCGGGAATCCGAGCCCGACTTACCCCGGACCCGAGTTGCCCCGGACAATTATTCGGGCGTCCAGAGCCCCACAATCATCAGGGGTATTTCGGGTCAGGGCTAACTCGGGTTCCTTTTTCGGGAATCCAGACCCGAGTTACCCCGGACCCGAGTTCCCCCGGATAACTCGGGTGCCGAACAGCGATCTTGGGCCCTCATGGGGCTGCTCTGGGAGCCATCAGGAATCAACCCTGAGGATCCTTGAGGTCGTCTCGGGCGGGGGAGGGTCTGGGCATCTCGCGCGGCGCACCCCATGGAGGCCCTCAACGTTGGCTTCCTGGAGGGTCGGGCAGCCAGTGCCAAGGGGGGCCACTGCGGTCGAGCATAAAAATTGGGAAGCCTGCTCCCGAGAAGCTGGGCCAGCGGCTCGGAAGAGCAGGAGGATACAGTAGGGAGAACGGGGCATCCTATGCGAGACTCTGCGATGGAGGATGTACGCTGCTGGTGGAGTGGTCTCACTTCGACCATCGGTCCCAATGTCGCCACTCCGAGCCGCCCATCGGCTTAGGTTATCTAACGGGGCAGGTCACGCCTGCCTTTGATCGAGCGCTGGCTGCGCATGTCCCAGCGGCGACCAGTGATTCCTATCTGTGACTTGCCAGGTGGCCACGGGAAGCGACCATTCTCACAGCGCTCTTGCCGCGTCTCACGACTCCCCGTCTTCTCCGAATCGAGACAGCGGCGCGCGGCTGCAAGCGGCGCGCCAGACAGACCTGGCTCGCCAGACCAGCGCGGCGCGACGTTAAGCAAACAAAAGGCGTCAAAAGTACTGTGCGAACGTTTATTCGAGCGTTTTCGTCAGTGCTCGCATATTTTCGACCGCTTTCGAGGGTTTCTGAATGTGATGGGCTCGAACCAAGCGGTGCGCTTTCCTGATTCTGCGCAGGCCAGAGGGTTTTACCTCGCTGTACACTTTTCGACATGTTCACTCGGGGTCGAATGTGGGATTCGTGTGTGTGTGTGTGTGTGTGTCTTTGAGTAGGTGTGTGTGTGTGTTCGTGTGTGTGCACAGATGCCCCATCCGCCAGCGCAGTCGCACGCGCTCCCTCTCTCTTCCTCCACGCCATCCTCGCCCGGACGCCAATGTGCGACCCCCCTCTGAACCAGCGCGCGCGCACACCGACCTGGGTTCCAGCCGCCGTGCTTGACTTGCTTCGCCTCTTCGCCGCGCGCGAGGCCGCGACCGCCAAGAAGTGTGTGTGTGTGTGTGTGTGTGTATGTGTGTGTTTATATGTGCTTGCGCTTTCCGTTGCCCGGACCGCCTGAGCGCGCGTGCGGACTGCCTCTGCCGCCCTGCATCGTAAAACGTGTGTATTGTATGTGTGTGAATGAGTGTGTGGGTGTGTTTTTTTTTTTTTTTTTTTTTTTGTGTGTGTGTGTGTGTGTGTGTGTGTGTGTGTGTGTGTGTGTTGCGCTAGTCCTGGACAACGTCTCGCGGGGTCCGTGCGAGCAGCTGCCGCGGACCGACAGAGCTGTGCGTCGGAGGCCTGGGGTCCTCCAGCGCGGGGGAGGAGGGCCCCAACCTCTCTTCCGCCTGCGCGGTTTTGTGAGCAGCCCGCTCTTCCTTCTTCTGCTTCTCCTGCTTCTCCTCCTCCCTCCTCCTCCTCCTCCTCCTGCTCCTCCTCCTCCTGCTCCTCCTCCTCTTCCTGAGGGGTGTTCCGAAATGGGTCCCCCGGACTGAGTCAAACTGGAGGGGTACCACTTGTTATCAGCAACCCAACCATGACAACGGCAATGGCAAGGTCCCTTCACACGGTGATGATCGATCCTGCTGCTACCTTCGCGGAGGCGTAATTCGGCTCCCAGGTGGCGGCACTAGGCCAGCGAAACTCGGCCGTATGCCATGTGCCAGTTCTCAGGGTTGTTCTGCACGGCAGGAGTAGTGCCCCGCTGAGGCGCCGGAATGGGGTGACGTCTGGGACGCACAGCTTGCACGCTCAAATCGCCGCGTTCATGGTAGCTGCTCTCCTGCACGGCTTTGGCTGTGGCGGTCCCTCCTACCTTTGGCCGCGCTTACTCTTGTTTTTCTCCGCTGCGCTGGCTCCTTTTGTTGTCTCTTTCAGGAGGAAAAGAAACACACAGACACAATGAATCCTCGATTCCCCCGAAAATATAGGAAAATATGGGAAGTGGGGGGGAAGACAGAAACCCAGAAAATATGGGAAAATATGAGGAATCTTTTTATTAGTGTGTATATTTTTGTGTGTCCTGGGGCCCCTTCACTCTTGTCCTCTGCCTCTCCCTGCTCCCAGCTGGCGCAGGCAGTTCACATGAATGGATTCATTTTGAAGTCTCCGAGGTCCCGCGGTCTCGGCCTGAGTCCTCTCTTGGGGGAACAGCCAAGTTTCTACGCGGGGCGCGCCTAGATGGAGTCCTGATTTGGGCCAGTAGTGAGTCTAACTTGCAGCTCGACTCTCGGGTCGCCTCCTCCTCCTCCTCCTCCTCCTCCTCCTCCTCCTCCTCCTCCCCCTCCTCCTCCTCCTCCTCCTCCTCCCCCTCCTCCTCCTCCTCCTCCTCCTCCTCCTCCTCCTCCTCCTCCTCCTCCTCCTCCTCATGTGTGCGCAAGTAAGGGAAAGGGGAATGAGACTGAGGGCACGCGCGGGAGCGTGTGCAGACGAGGAGGAGGAGGCGGCGGAGGAGGTGGTTGTGGAGGAGGATGACGTGGAGGAAGACGGGCGGGACGAGGGGGGCGTGGCGCGAGGAGGCCCTCGGGAGGGCCTCCAGATGTTTACAGAGGCCCTCATGGGCCTCCTGGGGAGCTCTTGAGGCCCAGAACGCGCACGATCCATCCCTAAATGTTGATGATCGTGCTTCGTCCGTGTCCTCGTCTTCCTCCTCGTTCGCTCGCTCCGCCTTGCAATTCGCAGGAGATCCTGACCCAGGATGTCCACGCCTTCGGCGCCGCAGCAGGCCTGCCGGGCGCGCGCCGGAAGAGGGGCAGCAGGGGGGAGGAGGAGGAGGAGGAGGAGGAGGAGGAGGAGGAGGAGGAGGAGGAGGAGGAGAGAGGAGGAGGAGGAGGAGGAGGAGGAGGGAGAAGGAGGAGGAGGAGGGAGCCCTTGACTCCGGGCCATCGCGTTGCAGGTGCATGCGCTGCTGAGCCCAAGGAGCGCCAGGAGCAGCGGGGCAGCCGGACCCAGGGGCAGGCGAGGGAGGCCTCGCCCTGGCAGACCTGTGGGGCCTGCGGGGCCCGTGGGGCCTGGAAGAACCTCAGCGGCCTGTCAGCCCTGTGGGATCTGTGGGACCTGCGGCCTGAGGGAGGAGAGAGGAGGAGGAGGGAGGAGGAGGAGGAGGAAGGAGGAGGAGGAGGAGGAGGAGGAGGGGAGGAGGAGGAGGAGGAGGAGGAGGAGAGGAGGAGGAGGGGGGGGGAGGAGGAGGAGAGGAGGAGGAGGAGGAGAGAGGAGGAGGAGGAGGAGGAGGAGGAGGAGGAGGAGGAGGAGGAAGGAGGAGGAGGAGGAGGAGGAGGAGAGGAGGAGGAGGAGGAGGAGGAGGGAGGAGGAGGAGGGAGGAGGAGGAGGAGGAGGGAGGAGGAGGAGGATGAGGAGGAGGGGAGGAGGAGGAGGAGGGGGAGGAGTGTGGAGGGGGAGGAGGAAGAGGAGGAGGAGGAGGAGGAGGAGGAGGAGGAGGAGGAGGAGGCGGAGGAGGAGGAGGAGGAGGAGGAGGAGGAGGAGGAGGAGGGGGAGGAGGAGGAGGAGGAGGGAGGAGGAGGAGGGGAGGGGAGGAGGAGAGGAGGAGGAGGAGGAGGAGGAGGAGGAGGAGGGGGACCTGTGGGACTTTGGGGCCTGGAGGGGCCTGCGCGGCCTGTGCGAGCTGCGGGGCCTGCGGGGCCCTCGGGACCCGTGGGATGTGCGGCACGCGTGGGACCTGCGGCACCTGGGGGGGCATGTGAGACCCGTGGGGCCTCTAGGACTTGTGGGGCCTATGGGACGCGTGAGACCTCTGGCATTTGTGGGACCTGTGGGACCTGTGAAACCCGTTGGATGTGTGCCAACTGTGGGGCATGCGCGGCCTGTACAACCTGTGGGACCGTGGCCGTCCAGACAGAAGATGCATGTAGCGGGCATTGGGGCGAGGCCACGATTCGGTATAGATTGCGAGGAGGTCTGAGGCGAAGCGGCTGCCGGACTGGGCAGGGTAGCCTCAGGCTCCCCTCGCGCTTGGCATCGCTCCGACGTGTGCATTTTTTCGGCGAGGGCCGTTAAGGAGCATCCTGGGCCATGGACAAAAATAAGCGCACGAAGACGAAGCATGCAAGGGGAATGGATGTCCGAGCGATGCCTAGTTCTTCAACCAGCAGACCCCTTCATCGAAACCTGATTAGGGAGTGTGGCTTGAGGCGAGACCGCGGTTCCGGAATAAGGTGTGAGGACGTCCGAGGCGACACGCCTGTTGCACCAGGCGGCCTCGGGCTCCCCGCACTGCCTGTGGCAGCCGGCACCCCGGCGAGAGCACGATTCCGGAGCACGCTGTGCGGAAGGCTGGGGCGAGACGGCTGCCAGGCAGGGCAGTTCTTGAATCACCACCCACCAAGCCACCCCAACCCAACCCGAAGGCCTCAATTTGCTCTCCATTTCCAGTTGGGGGGGGGTCGGGGAACATTGAAAACACACACATATGGAACCCGTACCCCCCCCAACCCGAAATTGGGGTCTTCGGGTTGGGTTGGAGTGGTCTGGTAGGTAGTCATTGAAGGCATTTGAGGCCAGGCTGGCGGCCGTGGTAGCTGCCAGGTCCGTCTCGGGTGCCATGTTGAGCGTTTCTGACGCCCTGGGTGCCGCCAGGCAGGTGCCGGGCCGGCCAGGGAGCCTCGGGAGGGGAGGGCGGCCGACGCATGCGGGCGGATGCGGCCCCGAGGGGGGGGGGGAGGGGGGCTGTGATCAAACGACGCGAAGATCGTGACAAAATCGGATCGGGATATCTCGAAATCTCTGAGAATGGGCGGGTTTGGAGGATGTATTGGGCGCCGCGGCCGCTCCAGAGCGTTCCGGAACGCTCTGAGAGCGCTCCGGAACGCTCTGGAGCGATTTATCCCGATCCTAGCCCTCTTTTAGGCTGTGAACATTACAGAAGACCTATCAGACAGCACTCGACATTCCACTGCGCCTCGACGCGCCAGGGGGCACGGTGGCGGATATCGGTTTGTCTTACTATGTTACCATGCATGTCTCAGGATCGCGTCAGTCGTGCGTTTGTTGCTCCTGGGCCGGTCGTTGATTCGCTTGGTTCTCGTCAGGCGGGCGTGACGTCGTGTCGCCTGATGCCAAATGAATCGTGGTATGGTTGTACGGTTGTGTATCGTGCAGTGTTCTGTCTTCTGTCAACGGTCGTTGCTGTGATTTTGCTTCAAGCCAGCGCTTCGTCGCGACGCCTCTTGCGTCTGAATAGTGGCCAACTTAGTTGCCAATGTTCACGACCACGTTGTATGACATGTCGTACTTATTTCTGAGTTGTCGAGGTATGCATGATACGAGCTTCAATCTTGTGATGTACGTGCGTTATGTCTGACTGTTGTGTGGACATGTGTTTTGCGGTCTGATATGTGCGCACGTTTTGCGCGTGATCTATGTATATGGATGTATGTGAGTATCTCCCAACCAGCGTTTGCCCTTAGAGGTTATCGCTTCTCTTCTACGGAAATGGGCCTGTCTGTCGGTCTGGCCGCTATGTTGCCGCCGTCGCCGCCCCGTCGCCGCTGCGTCAACGCCTGTAACAGAGCCTGTCTGTCGGCCTGGTGGCTTTCTTGCCGCCGTCGCCGCCTCGCCGCTGCCCGTAATTGGGCTTGTCTGCTGGTCTGGCGGCTATGTTGTCGCCGTCGCCACGCCGTCGCCGCCGTCGCCACTCGTCGCCGCCGTCAGATTGCACAAACGAGTTTGCACAACCAAGCCTGCGCTCGCGCTCTCGCGAGTCCGTATGAACACCATCGGTTATTCAACACGTTCATCAAATGCTACCTACCAATCGTGCCTCTCGCGCGCGTTTGTCGAAATCATTCGAACGCCCTTGCGCGCGTGCCTTCGCAATATTCCCTTGTAGAATAGGGGGCGAGATGCACACGCGCGCGTCGTCGCACGTGCATGTGCATCTCTGGTTGGGTTGTGCAACTTCTGGTTAAAAAGCTTGCGCGTTTTAGCGAACCCTTGAGAAAACGATATGTTTTTCAACATGTTCGTCAAATTCTGCCGAACGGGTCCCTCGCGCCGCACGTCGAAATCATGCGGGTGCCCTGGCGAGAGTTGGGGGGGCACGATCCTTGCCAATTATTCCATGCGGTCCTCTCGCGCGCGTCGGCCGCGCGCATGTCGAAATCCTTCCAACTCCTTAACCACTGGCGCGGGGACAGCAGCATCGTCATCGGTGCGATCAGCATCGGCGCCGTCAGTGGCTTTGCCGTCGCCATCGTCACCATCGTCACCATCATCGCTACTATCAGCATCGTGCCCACTTTTGTCGGCGTCGCCATGATGCCGCGCCCGCCCAAGTCACCGACTCGCACTGGAGTGCCCGCTGGGAAGTGCCCAGCGGCCAGCGCCACCGCGGCCGCGTCGGTCGCGCCAGACTAACTGGCCGTTGCGCGCGCGAGCATGCGCGGGTCAGCGCGGCCGCAGAGATGCACCAGCCAACCAACGCCGAGCCCTTTATCGCAATCGCCGCCGCATGGGCGGGGGTAAACCAAATTGCGGGTGGGTGAGTGGGACGATTGCGCGAACAGTGGAGTTGACAACGCCCGGTTTTTTTGAATTGCGCCAGACAGATTGCACCGCGCAGGTTGCACAACACAGGTTGCACCAAAGAACTTGCAACACATAGGTTCCGCCACATAGCTTGCACATCACAGATTGCACTCGCGCCGCGTAGGTTGCTCGCCGTAGATTGCACAACCTACGTCATGCTTCTCAGGCGAGTATTATGATCTACCCTCCTTTCCCCCCTTCCCGGATTTTGCCGCCCTCACTTTCGCATTGCAATTCGATTACGATTCTGCCCCATCGTCCATCCTGAACTCGCGCCATCCCAGCCAGGCCGGTATCTACTCTCTCCCCATCCGCTGCAAAACATATGCGCGCGCAATTGCTTACCACAAAGCACGAGTGTCCAAAAACCTTTTGCAAACTTACGGGGCGAAGGGCACACGCTCGCGTCGTCGCGCGCGTGTGCCGACATCTTTCAAACACCGTTCGTTCGGTAAGGATATCAAAATCGAACGCCCCGGAAACATCTAAGACAGACGGTTTCCCAACACGTTTTCTTATGTATGACGAATGTTGGCGCTCGCTTTTCTGCAGCTCCCTCAGACAATCATTGGGGTTTGTTCATGTTCATATCAAGCGGGCCTTTCGCGCGCGCATGTCGCAATCGCTCGAGCGCCTTTTGTGCGCGTGCTGTCGCAAGAACCCCTTGCAACAGAAAAGATGAAGTGCACGCGCGCGCGTTGTCGCGCGCACGTGCCGCAACCATTCAGAAACGTGAGGTGTCGTAAGGGTTTCAAAAAATCGAGCGCCCGGAAAACATGCAAGAAGCGCATGATTCGCGCGCCCTTTGCTTTCGTGTTTTTTGTTTAAAAAAACATAGGTTTTGAACAATAGAGCAATAACACATATATATGTAACACAAGCAGTAAAAATATTGGTATGAATGTTTCCATTTTTTGAACAGAAAAAGGCATCGGTGTTCAACACTGGCACCGAGTCATGCCAAAATGGTTCCGGATAGCTTTTAAGAGAAAATGAAGAAATCATGCGCGCGCTCTTGCGCTTATGTATATATATATGTGTGTATAAACGCTATCGGTTTTCAACACTGCTATCCAATTCTGCCAAACTGGCCTCTCGCGCCGCATGTCGAACTCATCCGAATGTCCTCGCGCGCGTGCTGTGGGGGCTCGATCCGAGTCGAATAATGCCGCAGGAGCCACTCGCGCGTGTCGGCCGCGCGCCCATGCCGAACTCTTTCCAAAACCTTCATCATTGACGCGAAGACATCGTCATCATTATCGGGGGGCGTGATTAACGTCGGCGCCGTCATTCACTTTGCCATTGTCATCGCCACCATCGTCACCATTATTGTTACTCTCATCATCGTATCTACCGTTGTCGGCGTCGCCATGATATCGCGCCCTTCCAAGTCACCGGCTCGCCTTGAAGTTCCTTGCGGGACATGCTCAGGTCAGCGCCACCACGGTAGCGTCGGTCGCGCCGCCGTAGCTGGCCGCTTCGCGCGCGAGCACGCGCTGGCGAGAGTGGCCGCAAAAATGCACCAGCCAACCCCAAACACTCATCGCAATCGCCGTCGCATGGGTTTAGCAAACGAAGTTGCGGGTGCGGGTGGGCGAGTGGGATGATTACGCGAGCAGGTGGGTTGATAACTCACTGCGAGCGTTGGTGGATTGCACCACGTAGATTTTTTTTCGGTTTTTCAGATTAGCCTGGCGAAGGACCCAACCATATGCAGTTGTGAGTAATGCTGGTGTGAGTACCGTCTTCGGTGGATCTCCCTATGGGGCCACGAACCGTTTGAGGGGTGTGCCGACATGGGTGTGGGGGCGGCATGCGAACGTTGCCACTGGGGCCTTCGGTGGAGCTCTTTATGGGGCCACGAAGCGTGTGAGGGGTGCACCGAAATTGGTGTGGGGGCGGCATGCGAACGGAGCCACTGGGGCCTTCGGTGGAGCTCCCTGTGGGGCCACGAAACGTGTGAGGTGTGTGCCGAAATTGGTGCTGGGGCGGCATGCGGACGCAGCCACTGGGGCCTTCGGTGGAGCTCCCTATGGTGCCACGAAACGTGTGAGGGGTGTGCCGAAATGGGTGGTGGGGAGGCATGCGAACCCAGTCACTGGGGCCTTCAGTGGAAATCCCCATGGGCCCACGAAACGTGTGAGGGATGTGCCGAAATGGGTGTTTGGGAGGCATACGAACCAGGCCACTGGGGCTTTCGTGGAGCTCCCTATGGGTCCACGAAACGTGTGAGGGGTGTGCCGAAATGGGTGGTGGGGAGGCATGCGGACCCTGCCACTGGGGCCTTCGGTGGAGCTCCCTATGGGGCCACGAAACGTGTGAGGGGTGTGCCGAAATGGGTGTGGGGAGCATGCGAACCCTGCCGACGGCATGGGGCCTTCGGTGGAGCTCCCTATGGGGCCACGAAACGTGTGAGGGGTGTGTGCCGAACAAGCTGGGGCCACGGCGCCCCTGCCACTGGGGCCTTCGGTGGAGCTCCCTATGGGGCCACGAACGTGTGAGGGGTGTGCCGAAATGGGTGGTGGGGAGGCATGCGGACCCTGCCACTGGGGCCTTCGGTGGAGCTCCCTATGGGGCCACGAAACGTGTGAGGGGTGTGCCGAAATCGGTGGTGATGATGATGATGATGATGATGATGATGATGATGATGATGATGATGATGATGATGATGATGACGATGATGGAGGAGGGAGGGGGGGGGGGGGAGGAGGAGGAGGTGAGGAACGCGGGGCGCCGTCTCTTCAAAACGAGGACCCAACACCACACGATGGTTGGGAACAAAAACATTCGTATCCCCACCCTCCCCTGGAATTAACGCCCCCCTTCCCGTATTGCATTTACTTATGCTGCTGCCTCGTCGTCCATCCCAAATATGAATTCAAAACGCCCCAGGCAGGCCGGTATCGCCCCCCCTCCGTATTTCCGGGAAAAAAATATGCGCGCGCATTATTTCACCCAAAATCGCAAGTATTCAATCCATGTTAACGGATGGGACGACATGCGCGCGTGCGTCGTCGGCGCGCACATGGGACTTTTTCAAACAGATTCGGTTTCGTATGGATTTCAATATCGAGTGTCCCGGAAACGTGGCTTCGCAGCGCCAGTTTTCAAAAAAAGGCTTGCGTTCGGGCTCTTGCGAGTTCTTAAGAAACCAATGTTTTTGAACATGTCTCATAACCTGATACCCAGCGGGCCCCTCGCGCGCGCATGTCGGAATCGCTCGAGCGCCCTTGCGCGCGTGCTGTCGCAAGAACCACGTGCACAAAAAACGGGGCAAAGTGCACGCGCGCGCGTATCGTCGCGCGCATGCCGAAATCTTTCAAACACCTTTCGTGCCGTAGTGATTTCAAAATTAGTTGTCTCGAACACATTTATACAGAAGCAATCACACATGGTTGTGCAGCGCAAGTTTGTAAATATGCTTCCGTTCGCGCTCCTGCGAATCCTTATGCAACCATCGTTTTTTGGGGGGGGCATGTGTTTCTTCATTTTTTCTTTGTCAAATTCGGCCACGCCGGGTTTTGCGCCGCACGTCGAAGTCATTCCAACGCCCTTGCGCGCGTGCCGGGGCGGGGCGCGATCCGTGTGAAAGAATTCAATGCAAACCATTCTCGCGCGTCGGCCGCGCGCGCATGCCGAATTCCGTCCAAAACTTTCATCACCGACGCGAGGACGCCGTCATTGTCTTCGGAGTGATCATCGTTGGCGCCGTCACTGGCCTTGCCGTCGCCGTTGTCAATCTCGTCGCCAGCATCGCTACAATTATTCTCGCGTCTACCGTTGTCGACATTGCCATGATACCGCACCCGCTCAAGTCGCCGACTCGCAGCGAAGTGCCCCTCAGCGCCACCGCGGCCGCGTCGGTCGTGCCACACTAGCTGGCCGCTGCGCGCGCGAGCACGCGCGGGCGAGCACTGCCGCCGAACTGCACCAACCAACTCCACGCATCCAGCCCATGCCGCCGCATGGGTTTTGCAAACGAAGTTGCGGGTGGGCGGGTGGGATGAATGCGCGAGCAGTTGAGTAGACAACTCACTGCGAACAGAAATTAACTGCACCACGCAGATTCCGCCACGCACTTGCTTCACACACATTTTCGCAAGTACTGTGCCCCATCAACTACCATACGGCTTGCACCGCATACGTTGCATCTCGCAAGGTACACAATCGACATTGCATCGCATGGGTTGCACCACATTGGTGGCAACATGCAGATGGCAACATACGTACTGCAACACGCACACACACATTGCACCAATCATATTGTACTACAGATGTTGCGCCGCATATGTTGCACTACATAGGTTGATGCTTCATCGGCCGTTCTGGATATGAACTCGTACTTTCCCAGCTAAGCTGGTATCCTCCCCCCCCACCATCTTCTGCAACAGTAGTATGCGCGCGCAATTATTTATCAACTGTCATCAGTTTCCAACACTCCCTTGCAACAGATGGGACGAAAAAGGCAGGACCGTTTGGGGGCCCTCGTAGGCCGTTTTGGCGCCGTCTTGGAAACCTCTTGGGGGGCGCTTGCGCCGATCTTGGTGGCATCTTGGGTCGTCTTGGGGCGTCGGGAAGCCGCCAGACTCTTACAACAAGCTATCAGAAATCATTTAATGTTGCCTGTCGGGGCCCTCGTGGTGTGATCTTGAAGACCTCTTCGAGCATCTTGGAAGCCGCCTGGGCTGTCAGGAGGCCATCTTTGGCGTCGTGGACTGACTGTTCCGCGACTCGGAGCCCTCTTGAACCGTCTTGGGGACCTCTTGGGCTGCCCTGGGGTTTTTTTGGGCTCCAGGCCCGCCCAATCGTTTAGGTCAGCCAAGTACTGGTCCAGAGAACCCGTGAATGCAGGCACTGTTTTGGGGACGAACACAATCACAAGCTTTCAAAGGTCCGCGCGTTTTTTCCTCGGGGCGGCGCAGGACGCCCCGTGCTGGTCGACGGGCCCACTACGAGCCTGGAGGCACCCGAAGGGGCACTCAGGGAGCCCCAAGGGAGCCTGTAAACTTGTCTCCGCGGCTCTCCAAGAGGCTCTGAAAGGTGAAGGTGATGGTGGTGGTTATGATGGTACTGGTGGTAGTGGGGAATGCTGTGGGCCAATGGGGGAAGTGGTTATAAGATATCGAAGAAGATGGGGGAGGGCGAGGAGGAGGGCTACACGCAAGAGGAGCAGCAGGAAGAGGACGAGGAGAGTGAATACGAGGACGCACGAGCGGGATCAGGGATGAGGTGACAGGAGGAGGGATCGCGGAGCAGGTTGGCGAGATGACGGAGAAGGGCAGGTCGCACTGCGGAGAAGGGAGGGTGGCAAGAAGGCAAGAGAGAGAGAGAGGAGGATCGAAAGAGACATGAGGAGGCCAAAGACACCCCGGGAGGAGGAGGAGGAGGAGGAGGAGGAGGAGGAGGGGGGGAGGAGGAGGAGGGAGGAGGAGGAGGAGGAGGAGAGAGGAGGAGGAGGAGGAGGAGGAGGAGGAGGAGGAGGAGGAGAAGGACGGGCCGCAGCACACACCCTGGAACCCAGAGTTGCAGCCCTTCCACTCCAGAGCCCATGGCTTTCAAGCCCTGGGACCCCCGGGCCCACCGTCTCCCTCCTCGCCCTCGCCCCCAGCAGCTCACCACCCACCAAACCACCCCAACCCAACCCGAAGGCCTCAATTTGCCCTCCATTTCCAGTGGGGGGGGGTCGGGGAACATCGAGAAAAGAAAACACATATGGAACCCGTACCCCCCCCAACCCGAAATTCGGGTCTTCGGGTTGGGTTGGGGTGGTCTGGTGGGTAGCCAGCAGCACACGCACAGCACGGCGACCAGCAGCGGCCGCAGGCGCCCCGGCGCCCGAGCTCGCCCCGCGCTGCCCCGCGCCCACGGCGCTCCACGTGCCGCCGCCCCCGGCCCTGCAGCCGCGGCCAGCGCAGGGCAGCGCCGACGCCGCGCGCGGCCACGTCGTGCCCGGGCCTCGGCGCCGAGCGCTGCGCGGCCGCGGCCGGCCGCGGGCCCTCCTCCTCCTCCTCCTCCTCATCCTCCTCCTCCTCCTCCTCCTCCTCCTCCTCCTCCTCCTCCTCCTCCTCCCCCGCCGCGGCCGCCCCAGAGACTCTTGTCGTCGCGGCGCGGCGGAGGCGAGGCGCTCGCGCGCGCTCCAGTGGCTGGGGCAGAGCGTATACGCGGCCGCCCCCCACAGGCGGCGCCTCGAGATGTCTTCGAGGCACGAGCCCCCGACCTCTTGCCCCCTTCCCGGGGGCCGGTCTCATCCCGAGTCCTTGTTTGACTCGGGAGCGGAAAAGAGGGGGGTGATGACTAGGGGGGGGGTGGATTTCATGGCGCGGGCCATGATTTTTCCTCAGATTTCATGGCGCCTCTTCTTATTTCATTACGTCCCAGGCCCCCCCGCTGGGCCGCGCACATGCCGCCGGTCATGATTTGCACCCCCCCCCCTTGGACACCCCCCTCTTGGCCGCTCCCGATTGAGGGCCCCGAGAGGCCGAAGCCTCGCGCAGGGCGAAAAGGGGGGTGCACGACACCTGCTGCATGCAGCTGGTTTCGGCCCCGCCACCAGGCCCATTCCTCGATACATAGGCGCCTCTCGGCGCCAGGAGGCTCAGAGCAGCCATCTGCGTAAGCTGCCGATTCTCTATCCAACCCCTTGCTAACCTACCCTTTCGCCCGCCCCCCCGCGAAAAACAATGAAAAGCCTCCGACTCGATGCCTTTGAGACGTCGAGTGTCTGGGTCTAGGCCTCCGAGAGGGGGTCCGGATAGATGGGCTCGCAGGATCACGCCGCATCGCCGATGCATCGGCGATGCGAAGCGATGCGGCCGATATTCTCCACGCCGCCGTCGCCGCTGCGTCGCCGACGTCGCCGATGCATCGCCGATACATCGGCGATGTGGCGCCATCCTCCGACCCCATCTACAGTCGGACCGAGGTAGAAGATCGAGGTCGTTTCGGGGAGGGTACCCGATGCGGCGCGATCCTCCGACTCCATCTACAGTCGGACTGAGGTATAAGATCGAAATCGGCTTGGGGAGGGTACCCTAGTGTTCTTCGTGTTTGTTGGATGTTCTCGGGGGGCACCCTGGGGAGGGTACCCCTGGATGTTCTGTTTGTTCTGGCCGACGGAGGGTCTCATGTTCTTGAAGGAGTCGAAGAAACAAAAACACCATAAACACAAACGTTTGGCGCTTCGCGCGGATTTCTTGGATTTGCACTGGGCCCCCCTGCCGGGGCGCGCGGAGCGCGCCAGCGGCGGCGCTGGAGGCACCGCTGGGGGGGGGGGCCCAGCGCAGATCCAAGAAATCCGCGCGGAGCGCCAAAGGTTTATGTTTATGACGTTATTGCTTTTTGTAAGGATGTTCATCTGGCCCAGGTCCGACTGCACTCGGACCGCATCTGGGAGGCCTCTGCTGGGCCTGCTTGCTCCGCCCCCTCCTCCTCCTCCTCCCCCTCCTCCTCCTCCTCCTCCTCCTCCTCCTCCTCCTCCTATTCCTCCTCCTCCACCTCCTCCTCGTCCTCCTCCTCCTCCTCCTCCTCCTCCTCCTCCTCCTCCTCCTCCTCCTCCTCCTCCTCCTCCTCCTCCCCCTCCCCTCCTCGTCCTCCCCCCGCCCTCCTCCCTCCTCCCTCTCCCCCCCCCTCCTCCCCCTCCCCTTCCCTTCCTCTGGCAGGCCTCTGCTGGGCCCGCCCCCCGGCCCCCGCGGCGGCCGACGGCCCCCTCGCCGGCGTCGGCCCGTGGCCGCTCGTCCGCGGGGCCGCCCGCGCGGGCCGCAGGGGGCCAAGGTCGATGCAGCCTTTGGCGGCAGCGACAACAGGGATCACAACGGTGAGAATCGGGGGCGGAGGAGGAGGAGGAGGAGGAGCGGACGCGAGGTTCGAGGACCTCGGATCGAGGCGTCGGACGTCTGGGGCCCGTTCCGAGCCTCTGGTGGCCTCTGGACCCCCAGAGGTCTCCGGATGGACCTCTGGAGGCGCCTCCCAAGGAGTGAGGCAGAGCGATAGCTCTATCGGGGGCAGAAAAGAGGGGGGTGATGACTAGGGGGGGGTGGATATCATGGCGTGGGCCATGATATTTCCCCAGCTCTAATGGCGCCTCTCCTTATTTTTTACGTCCCAGGCCCCCCCGCTGGGCCGCGCACATGCCGCCAGTCATGATTTGCACCCCCCCCTCTTGGACCCCCCCCTCTTGGCCGCTCCCGAGAGAACGAAAGAGGGACGAATCCATGACTTTCTCCCCGAAGGAGAGAGAGACCACGCCATAAACACATGTACACTTTTGTAGCTCCGCGCAGATTTCTTGGATCCGCGCTGGGCCCCCCCCCCTCCCCAGGCGGCGCCTCGGCGCCGCCCTGGCGCGCTCCGCGCGCCAGGAAGGGGGGGCCCACCGCGGATCCGAGAGATCCGTGCGGAGCGCCAAAAGTTTATGTTTATGGCGTTGTTTCTTCGTCTAGATCAATGCGTTTCTCCTGTTGTACCCAGTGGGTGTACGTGGCACGGGATCAAATAAGGCTCGCCGTTGGCTTAGCCGACCCTCGGTGGGGGTGGGAACTCGCTGGCCGCCTCTGCAGGGGCCGATGTCGGTCCAACCTTCGGTGGAGCTCCCTGTGTCGGCCATGCGCAGAGGGAGGTAGGGGGAGGGGGGAAGGCTTCTTAAAAGTATTTTTTTTTAGAAGGCGCTGGCGCCCGCTCTAAGAAGCAGTTTCGTGCTGACAAGAAGGTGCTGGAGGGCTTCCAAGAAGCGGCGCGTACCTAGCTTTTTAGAAGGGCGGTTGGCGCCTTCTAAGTGACAGCCGCCTTCTAAGACGCCTCCCCGCCTCCCCATACCCCCTTGTGCGCGCCGGCAACAGTGGAGCCACGAGACGTGTGATGGGTGTGCCGAACTTGGCTGGGAACCGCATGCAAACCCTGCCACGGAGGCCTTCGGCAGAGCTCTCCCTATGGGGCCACGGAGCGTGTGAGGGGTGTGCCGAATTGGGCGGGGGTAACCGCATGCGAATGCAGCCGCTTGGGGGGACCTCCTGTGGAGCCCCCTCTGGGGGGGAGGAGAAGGAGGAGGAGGAGGGGGAGGAGGAGGGGGAGGAGGAGTGAGTGAGACGCAGGGCACTTTCTCCTCAAGCCGAGAACCCACCACCACATGATTTTTGGAAAAAAACATACGCGCATACCCATCCTTCGTTGAAAGTGCACCCGTTAGACATCTTACGAAACAACATCAATTTTGATGGACTTCAGCGTCGCTGCAGAAATGGACCCTGGGCGTTTTCTCGGAGCTCCTTTTTTATAGAACCTCCGTGTATCTGGACCCGGACTAGTTTAAGAACACGTTTCGAGTGATGTCCATGTTCTTAGCGTAAACTGTTTTTTTTTTTAACTCGAAGCAGGTGTGTTTGTATGTCTGGACGTCCAGATTCAAAGGTGCCTTGTCCCTCCTACTTCAAGGGTCGATCGGTGTTGCCTTGTCCCAAGGGGGCAGGCGGAGAGCCTATCTACTTTCAACGCCTTCCTACTTCATGCTTATACCCACTTCTGCTAATGGCCACTCACTGCAACATGTACTTGTCATCACCTGGCGATCGCAGCGCAGGTGGAGTCGATCGTTTCAACGCTGCCTGCTGCTATCTACTTCGGGTATGAATCGTCACGGTAAGCTTGGAATCAGAACTTCACGGAGGAGGCGACCGAGGGGTAAACATAGCAACACATACCCAAGCTGGGGAAGGCAGAAACCGACTCGGGATGAACAGGTCATCCCACCTGCGTGGTCCACGTCGGCCGGTCTTCAGCCCGAGCAGGCTTTCCACAGCCCCTGGGCCCGCACCAGGCACCCATGGGGCGAACTCTTGCGGAAGACAGCCCTGCGCGAGAGACCGGTCGTCCTCCTCCTCCTCTTCCTCCTCCTCTGTGCTTGGTGGGGTGCTTGCGACGGCTGCGCCGACGACGCCGACGACGGCGACGGCAGCGGCGGCGGCGGCGACGACGACGCCGCTTCAGCGGCGCGATTCTTCCACGCGCCTGGTGCTCTTCCTGCCCGTGTGCTCGCGGCCGCCGGGGGGCCACCGGACCGCGCTCCCGCCGAGGTCCTCCAGCAGCTCGGCCGTCAGCTCGGCAGCTCGCGACAGCCCAGAGTGGACCCTGGCGGCCGCCGCCGCCGCCGCCGCCGTCGTCGCCGTCGCCGCCGCCGCCGCCGCCGTCGTCGTCGTCGTCGTCGTCGTCGTCGTCGTCGTCGTCGTCGTCGTCGTCGTCGTCGTCGTCGTCGTCGTCGTCGTCGTCGTTGTCGCGAGCATCTTGGTCACGGAGGAGGCTGCGGGGGGGAGGAGATAGAAAATAACGCGCGAAAGTTGCACCCAGGGGCTGTCTAACACCCACACACACATATATGTATGTTTCTATATATATATATATATATATTCATGTGATGAAAAGCCGAGCAGCATTGACCCTGGACGGGGTCCGGGAGCTGGCTTTGAGCAGATGTTGGTCTCCGTCCTCGTTGTCGTTGTCGGATCGAGTCCGAGCCAGAGTGGGCCGCAGACCTGCAGCGTCCCGCCCCTCCCCTCCCCTTCTCTGCAATCTGATACAGGACGAGGGGGAGGGCGACAAGCGAGAAGGAGGTAGAGGAGGGCGAGGAGGGCGAGGGCAAGGAGGGGATTGCGGAGAGGGAAGGGGGGCTCGGTCCCATGGTTCTCAGGAGCTCCTCTTCGCCCTTGGCGTCTCGCCTTTCGAGACGTCGAGACAGCGCTGACACTGAGGGGCCCTTACTTCTCATGGCCACACCCATCAGAAATCTTCAGAACAAGACATCAACGTCCGTAGACTCCAGATTTCGTTGAAGAGCATCAAGAATCTGGACTGGACCCTGCTCGTTTTCCTCGGGGCTTTTCTCACTCCTATAATGTTCCTATATCTGGACCGGCACTACCGTTTAAGCACACGCTTGGAGCGAAGTCCGTTCTCGTGGCG